AAATTAAATTTATTAAATTTTATTTACTATAAATTATGTCAATTTACACTAATCAATATATTGTATTATAAATATTTTGAAATACAGACTGAAGCTAGAGGTGGTGTGCAACCTCCACATCAAGAGAAGTTCAAGGAGACACATACCTTCAAAAAGAAGGTGGCAACGAATCAAGAGCCGATGTGGATAAATGAAAAGGCAAAGCACCGACATGTAAGTATATATAATATATCAATTATTATAAAATTTGTAGTTATAAGTGTCAAATTAATTTACTTGATTAATCTAAATTATTTAGAAAAGTCTACTTATTTTATAGATTCTTTTCAAAATGCTTCTAACATTATTATTATTATTTTTAATTTTCAGGATACTTATATAGCGGAGTGCTCAGAGACCCATGGCTCCAATGCTAGTTCGTGGCCACGCATGGATCACGAGGCATGGGTTAAGGCTATTGGAGGCTGCTCGTCAAGTTTCATGCCAGGGATTGGCTCTCAAGTAAATCCAGAGGATGTTGGATTTAGCTACAGGAAAAGACCACCTCGAGACAACTTGATGGCAGCGATGATGATGTCTGACTTTGTTGAGGAGCAAGCACACCACACTGAGGTGGTGGCAAAACAAACTGAAGAGTTAGAAAGACAACACCAACAAATTATTATGATGCAACAACAGCTGGCCCAGATGAAACAAGCCCAAAATAATATGACAGAAGCCCAGAATAATATGAGCCAGACAATTGCACAGTCTGTTGCAGCAGCTCTAGCTGCTTATGGCATCTCTCCCCAGGCAGGTCATCAGCCATTTGCCTCTCCACAGCCTTCACGTAATTAGGGCTCAGGTCTTCGCATGAATACACCTGTCACCTACTCTACTGATTCTACACAGACCTCACCTATTGTGCCTGAACATTAGCAGCAGCAGCTTCCGCCTCAAGATGATGTATACCGTCCTGTTTTTGATCCAGACTATTCAGCTCCTTAGTTTTGTTTTCTGCTTGGTTATCTGCATGGTTATCTGCACACTCTGCATGGTTGCCTTTATTTCTATTAGTACTTTTAACTGCTAGCTTTAACTTTTTATTAGGATATCCTTTCATATTTTACTTGACCTCCAGTAATCATGCTTGAAGTATGAACTTTTGGACTATTTTGGGGGTTAATTGTTATGAATTGAATATCATGTAGTTATTTAGGACAATGGCATATGGTTGATATACTTTATGGTTGTGGTTGAAGAGAAAAAACTACTTTTAGTATGGTAAACTTGTAGAATATGTGCTTTTCATTGCAAATGCAGGTTTAAAAAAATTGGTTATGATTAGATATATGGGGAAACTCTGTCAAAATTTTTTTAGAATTATTGTACACTAAAATGACCAAATTGTAAAAAACCTATTGAATAAATTCAAAATTAAATATATATTATACAGATTTGGATAACTCTATAAAATTAAATAAATTTAAGAAATAAATCCGGTAATTAAGGGGGATTTAGCATTACTCATAATTACCCACAATTACCCACACAAAGAGCGGGTTGGCAATCTTCATTGTTGGACCAAGTTTTGCTTTTAACTTGCCAATATGCCATTCAAATTGAAGGCATTTCACTTCCCCAGCATGCTCTTAACTTCCCAGCAAGTCTTTGTCAGTAACTGATGGCAAGAACAAACAAGCAGCTCACAGGCGTCGGCATTTTCAATTTACCGACAAGGTTCTTGTCGGTAAGAAACAAAATTTTGGATTTTTGGGGGTGGCACCGAAATTTCCACTTTACCGACAAGAAACTAGTCGGTAAGAAACAAGCGGGATCACAAATTTTTTGGATTGTGTTGCTCTCGCTGAAATTTTCACTTGACCAATGTGTATCACATCGGTAATAAGAATACCGACGAGCTAGCCATTGCTAAAAGGCTCTATATATACATGTACACTTGCACCGCCCGTTCATTTTATTTGTTTCTTCATTCTTCTTCTTCTTCTTTTTCTTCTCCTCTCCAACTTTGTCTCTCCTGGCCGGATTTTTCTTCCATTAATCTGCTACTCAATTTACCATATTTATTATTACATTATACTTATATTAATTTTGGTTTATATCTTCTTAATCTTTGCTCTTTTTCTCTTCCATTCTTTTTCTAGCTAATTAATTGTTAATTAAACAAGAATTTCAGTTATTGATAAATTTATTCACACTACTAATATTTTTTAATATTGTTGTTTTGTATGAAACATTGTTGGGAGATACTAATTGGTAAATAAATTTTATTTATGTAATTTATAATTTAATTTCAATTATATTTTGATTATTATTATTTGGTTGAAATAATACATAAATATT